TTACTCAAGCAAGAAGAGTAAAAGGTAACTTAACCCCAAAACCCCAAAACCCCGGAATATTAAATTGATTCAAGAATCAATGAAATACTTAACTTGTAATAGAATTGAAAATTTCTATTATTATACTTGATTATATTTCTCAAAAAATGCTAATGCTCTAAATAATCACAACTCTTCTCAAAATCTATGCATTTATTTGCTTAGCTGGCTTGACTTCTTGGATAATTGCTATCCCACTTTACTTCATTTGCGACTAAGTAATATAATTCTCACTTTGGTATGCATTCGGCTTGCAAAAAGTAATGGAGGGGTCAGACACATTAGAACTTATACAAGGAAATTTAATGGTGATTCTCAACATTGAGACTGATGGCCAAGTAGATTCACTGCAAAGCATATCCGAATAGTTTTTCAGGAATAGTGAAGACATACCTGAGTTAAGATCTAGAGTGGTGAAATTCCTAAATAATATATACCTCAAAGAATATAAGGGTGAAGAACTGCAAAAATATTGGGCTCAAGCATTTGTAGAGGTTCAGGATAAAATACACACTAAAAATGAGCTGCTTGAATTCACAAATAAGATATCATACAAAAAAATTCCGAACGAGAAGATTCAGTTCATTCTGTACTTGATCAAAGACTACTAACCTAATTCATCTGCAATAATTATGTATATAAATCATGGAATTGCAGACGGAGTAGCCTCATTCAATCTTTTAAATTGCTTGCAAGACAAGTTTTAAGTCGATAATCAACCATTGCAAAATACTAAATCATCATCTTAAAAACTCTAAGAACTGAAAAATTGCCTTATATTTCCTTATTACGCTCTTATGACATAGCCATCAACTACTTAGGATACTGAGGTATTTGATGATAAAGATAAACCCCCTTCCTTTGCAATTTGTAAAGATTACGATTTATAGATTATCAAAAATCTAAGCAGGAAGTTTTAATGTACCATTAATGACATAATTTGTAATGTATATCTTGAGGCTTATGCTTAGTATCTTCAAGATAATAAACTTTCTATTCCCAAAAATTATAAATGCTGCATTCCTATCAACCTAAGAGAGCCTATGAAATCAAAGAAAGATTTATCCTTATTTAATGTGCAGATTCCACCTGAAGCCTTTCTCATTGTGCCACAATATTTAGAAGATCTATCAAATAGAGATGAGGAATTTGAGTTAACATTGAGGAAAAATAAGCAAATATTTGATGGGTTAAAGAAAATAAACTATGCTTGGTCAATAGTGATGGGTGCGAGATTTCTAGGCTTTATATTGCCACCTTATATTTTATCATTAGTAGGGCCTTCATTTATGTAATTCTCTAGAAGAAACATATCAAACATCTGTGGTCCCTCAAAGCCATACATTATCGGAGGAGTTTAAACAAAGAGAATGCATTTTAGAGGAACTTTTCATGGCCTAATAGCTGCAATCAACATTTTATCACACAATGGAATATTTAGGATAAGTGCTAATATGGACAGAGTAGACATTAATGCTAAACAATTGATTTAGAAGTTTGAAGAGTCTCTTGATTATTGGATAAAAAAGAAATTGTGATTTTATTCTCAGCAAATGTAATGAATTGCTTTTAAATCAAAATTTTCATATTGTTTCTAAAGAAATTTAATTATTAAATCACTTAAATGGTATTTTTAATGATGGGGTTTTGGGGTTTTGGGG